AGTTTGTAAAATGACGCAAGGCGAATTTCCGGTCTTGACTTTCACTGCTTGGAATTCCGCACGCCATATATCTAGACCCCCTCGGGACGATCATTAGTCATACGACTAAAAGCGCACTTGAACGACAGACAAGCGTGGTCGCTAGCACCGAGAGGTGAGTTGTATACAATGTCCGTGACAAAGTCAACGGATTTAGCAAAGATAAGGTTTAAGAATAACGGGCTTTGTACCATCATGAATCTAGTGGGCCGATCAACGCGATGATGCAGGGGAGTACGCAAAGCTAGATAGAAAAGCTCAGTAGCAAAACACCTTGAAACAGCATCGCAGGAAAAATTCTGCCAGTCAACGTCGGAGATTAAAGTCCCCCATCACTAAACACCTATGCGCCGAAAGTTCACGGATAGATTCAATGAGACCAATAGCAACGCTGTCGGTGCTCCTATAGATCAGCACAACCTTAAGTTGCACGGATGCAATACACAAAGAAACTGCGAGTGCCTCAACAAAACCGTCTGGTGAGCGGAAAGTGTACGTCTTAAAGACAGTAAGGGTGGAGTTGACGTACAAAGCAACGTCACCTCCGTGACGATCGGAGGTGCAGTCACACCTCAGTAGAGCGTAGCCTGGTAAACACACTTCATGGTCTGTGGCGTCAGTCGGCAACCACGTTTTAGTGAATGCGAGAACATCTGGACGACATTCGTTGACAATGGCGTCGACTTCACTCAGCTTGTTCCGCAGGCTGTGCACATTACTGAAGATCTGTACGGATCTAGCATCGTGAGTCCGGGATCGTGCGCCACCAGAACTGGTTCTGGCAGGGCGGAAGTGGACCGCCGACAAACCACCCGAAAACCCACTAAACGAAGACCCATTTTTCCTGCTTCACGCCAAGATCTAAGATCTCGCACAACCTCCTGCAATTTCAGCCACTCCGACAAAGGGAGATTTGGGTGCACAATGACACCAGTGTCCTTAAGCTAAAGGCGAAACGCAGAAGAGCTTGGCGCTCCTCCGGAGTGGACAGAACAACTCGCAACAAGCGAGGGCAAGATACAGACTTATCAGCCGGCAAGTTACCGAGTCTGGTAAGTTTTCGCACAGTCACGCCGGGAAAGCCTGGCGGCATGAGTTTGGTAACGCATATTCTAAACCATTGAAGGTCATCTAGCATACGCACTTTTGGAAGAACAGCAGATGACTCAGTGGCATTCCTGAAAATAAGACTGCAGTCTCCGCGACGCGGAGTATTTACCAAGAAGGTCCGGTCATGCAAGCGTTCCTTCGCTAAAATCACTCGCTCCCTGCGCACTCGAAATCCACTGTCCACGGGCGATGTAAGCCAGTATTTAATCAATTTGCGCATCACACCCAAACATACTGAATGCATATGGTCAATTGGAAAGTCTTCAACCAAATCTACATTCAAACCAGCAAAAGGCGACGGATCAAGTTCAAGTTCGGGTGGAACTGGAACAATAGGAGAATCCCGTGAGTGTTCCATTTTGAGTGAATCGTTGAGCCAGGAATTGATGAAGTGCTCAGAGTTCTTGATTCATCTAAAACAGAACACCTGTATCGTACTCGGACCAATCAATTAATGCCTACGTTTCCTGCCCTAGCAGTCCCTGCTGTGGCAGTCACGTGAAGTAAGCAAAGGATAGGAAGGGAAATCGTAGGCACAGAATAATGAAGTGCATTTGAAATAAGAAAATAATACCAATGCGTGAAGAAAAGTAGAGAGAAGAACGAAGTATGAAGATGCGAGTTACTCAGGGAAGGGGAAAGGTTTCGTGTTGCCACCCAAGAGCGTCAAGTTGCTGCTCAAACCCCTAACCGTAGATTCCCTGATAACACTTTCCGGAAGCATTTTCCAGCGATCGGCTGGCATTCTTTCGCACGGATGCATTATTCCGCGTTGTGCTATCTGTAAGTTTGTATGTCACATTGCAGCTCATAAACTCACTACGTTGGGTGCATTTGTCACAGCTGTAATAACCCGAGTGTTCTTTTTGCGTTTCACATAAGCGCGCGCAGGGGTATCTCAGATAACGGCTTTTAGGTAGAATAATCCGTTGCTTTGCAAAGAATGGATATCATAAATTGTCTTATAAATTATCGTCCACGTCATTAGGTTTCGAGTTTCCACCATAAACACCAACAAGGAATGCATTTTTGTCCACTGGTTTGATCACACGGCACAATATATGTTTCTTTGATGTATTAAAAGGCCTAAATCCGTCTATGTGCAATTGATAGTCCACAGTGTCATCTGTCGCGAGCGAAATAGCAGAACATGTACGCTGTAGGCCTCTGAGTAGACCTACGGGTCCGTAAGTGCCCGGTGCGACATTTCGTAGGAATTATGTGTACAAAAACGATTCATACGGCTGATACTACTACCTTGGCCAAAGGACACTGTTACTTAGTTATTTGGCTGTTATCTGACCTACTTAATTACTTTGGACTACTGAGCTTTGCGTATGCGTTTGTATTTAGTTTACTTGGTTTACCATCTCTATCATTGTCTCAAGTTATCTATTTTGATCAATCAAACAGTCCAGAAGTCAATCCCACCCCAGTTGACGCTTTCCCCACAATCAGTTATGTAGACGTTTGGGTCCGATGAGAGTTTACCGAAAAGAATTTTTCACCCTGAACTGATTTCTGATATTGATTCATATTAATGAAAACTGCTGTGTCCATCATCTTTAGCACGAGTAGATTTTTTTTCTTAACCCTCCTCGTTAGTCAGCTTCGAGCATGCCCGGGAAATGGAACGTCAATCAGAGCGCGGTATGCTGCCCTCCACAGACGATACCATTCTGATGGGGCTTCCAGCTAAGCGTCCTATGTAAGTATGAATTTTTTCTCATCTCCCCATAGACGCCTGTCCGTCCGTTACAGCTCCCATGACGAAGAGGCCGCACGTCCCACTAAACCCAAGAGGCCCGCTGCAGCAACGTACGCACGTGCTCCCACTTCTCTCTTCAGTGACATTGGTGCCCCACGTCCAGCGCCATCAACAAGTAACCGTAAGTATTGCGTTCATACTGCCCCTTATTAAACAGTAATCTCACCGGCTATTACTGCTCCCGTTGCACCATCCAATGTCGACGTACTGCAGGAACTTAAGGCGATTAAAAGCAAAACACCACAGGCATATTGTATTGCACTCAGCCTTATTTTTAGACGATTCGGTCAGAATAGGTCGGCCATCGCCGTATGTCCGAGGCCATGTTGCAGATGCTGCAATGGCAGTCCCAAAGTCTGGCACCGGGACTTTCTTTGCCATTTATTTCTCTCAGTGAGCATAAGAGATACGACGAACGGCTGAAGGATCCAGATTTCAAAAACAGTCGTAAGTTCGTCGTACCATAGAAAAAGTTTCAGGTCGACGATTTGTCTGCTGTGCACGGAGATAACGTGCAACTCGTCGTCCGCGGTACCCTGGAGCGGCTAATGATAAGATCAGTTGCCGCGGAGATCAATTATTCAGGCGAGGGAGGTTCGTTTGCATTCGGACGGACAACTATGGACGGTATTGTACACGGTATGTGGACATATAATAGTCCATATTCATATTATTATTATTCAACATCTGACCAATATACAATTGGCAGTGCCACAACACATAGTTAGCAACAACAAAAACAATAAAAAGGGAGAAACATGTAGACAGTGGAAAGGTTTGAAAAGTTTACAAGGTTAATGTGTTGTGCCGGCAGAGATGTTCCCGGTTGCCCAGGCCGAGGAAGAGGGTGGACTTAAGAGACCCCACCCCGAGCCCTCGCTTATAAAGACCTGACCCGCAAGGATGCGGGGCGATTTGCGAAGGCCGTTGACATCGGGGTATCTCATTCGCCTTCTTTGTGTTCAGTAGTAGTCCACAGAGAATCCGGTGGCCAACAAAGTTGTTCATCCGCACTCAGTTAGGTACACTTTTGGTTACGGAAGTGAGTGGTCAGTGACCCTACAGCCGGTCACACTGGCTTTGACACAGCGCCGTACGAGTTCTTGTGGTATTTGATAGAGAAGCAGGTGACCAGCCCAGAACTCCCCACGCTCTGAGACGCTGCCGCTGATTGTGCGCGACTGCTTATTCATCTCGCCTGCAAGACAGACGAAACTTATATGCAGTTACCTCCACAAGGAACGCATTGCGTGATCCGCAACTTGGGGACGCGCCCGATAGCGTACAGCTTCGAATGGGTGATGCAGCCTCAGATGCTGACATTAAACACCACATCAAAAGGTGGTTGTATTCTGCACGGCAGAGACCGTCTGTCGAGCAAAGTAAAGACTGCAGTGCCACCAAAGTAAGCCCACAGTTTCATTAGTAACACCTTTAGCCTCCTACGTTGACAATCGCCAAAGCGGATTAAACACCTTGACAATGCGGCATTTGGCAACGAGCACGATTTTTGTACTATACATCTTTATGTACATAAACCATTCTTATACACCGGTTGTCATTTTCTTTCTCCTTGTGATGTTCCCAGGTGTATGGCAAGCGCCATTTAGCTTTCTGACCAGTAGCATGAAGCGTCGCTTAGGTGTGTTCCTAGGTCCAGCAACTACGGCAACACGTACTGCGTGAACCTTAGGTTGGAACAGTTATGAGATTCGTTAGGTACTAAGTGTGTGGCAGTGTGATGTTCGTATTCGGATATCGATGGTAAGCAATCGATGTTTCTGGAGCTGCCGCATTGTCACGCATGGCAGTGAATTTCAATTGGCCAACGCTAAAAACGTTTAGGAGGCTAATCTGAACAGAATCTGGACATATGCTACCACATATAACCAACGAGTCGTAGTAAGGACACGGCGACTTTGGACATCACACGACCTCTTGACAGAAACGAGTCAGAAAATGAAGTGAATGTAAGAGATAAGCAACAGAGCTATGAACCGGTTTACGGTGACTAACTATGCAATTAACGAGAGCATCAGTCAGAAAGAGCAAGTGTGAGTTGTGTGTATTGAAATGGACTCACCAAATCGTAAAAGGCGTCACAAAGCAGAGGTGAACTTCAAGGATGGGACAACAGGTACTTCCACAAAGAGCAGAGGCACCAAGACCGAAGATCCGCTGACAAGTTCAACCACAATAAGCAAATCACAAGGAGTAATCTAAGTAAATCCGCTTTTGTCAAATGAACAACGATACGCAAGCGGCGAGCGGTAGCTGGTAAGCGACCGGTGGTCAAAAGACGGGTAACGGTCCAAGGCTTCAAAAACAACAAAGGGTCAGAAAACAAGTTTCTTTGCGGGAAAATTCACCAAAAGCACGCCGTCAAAATTCATGATACAAGAAGCGAATTGCCGCAAAACAAAATCACCTGCTGGAGGCGAAACAGGGAACCAATGGAAATGTTATAATCTTCGCACCAGACGCGATTCCGAAAGTGGCTCCACAAAACTACTAGCCCAACCGAAGGAAACAGCAGAATAACGATGACCTTGGCAAAATAACGTATTAAGCGCCGTCAACAAACACTGTACAACTACAGCGGACCTTGGCTGTATTTACAGGTCTCTTACTGAGAGAATTCTAGAATTGGAAGGTCAACTACTAAGGCTAGCGGTTCCACATAACTTTGGCCGAGGTGCTGGTGGTTTTTAGTCACGTGCAGAACCTAGAACATTCCAGAACGTTCGAGATCGATGCGACAATCGTTAATAACCGATTAGTCGCTAAAGTAGTGGGTTTTATAGGCAATTCGGACAGGAAACAATGCTCTTTCGATGGAATAGTAGTCTGAAGGGAATGGGGGGAAATTTCCCAAGTAAATCCACAACGGAAAACGAGTAACCCACAGAGGGATTCCGTGAAGCTGAGATTCGATATATCGGGCACTTTCACGACCGTAGAAATGACAACAAAACAAAAAGCCCAATATCTGTTCACGGTTAACCAAATACTTTCAACACAAAGCTTCCGGAGAAAAAGCCCCAACAGTGGATCACGACAAGCACACCGTGATAAACAAAGGTAACTCAGTCGGCAGTGCACCATGTATTTACGTTGTCTTAATGAGAGCGATCCAATAACTAATGGAACAGAGTAAAGTTTTCACACTCTGCCTCTTGAGGATATGCTTCCAAGTCAAATTTGAAGGTAAAAATTGCAAAGGAGAGCTTTTACAAAATATAAACCATGCGCCAGTCAGTAAACGGTACGTAAGAATCAGGTCTCCCTGAAAGCGCCTATAGTGCAGCGAAAACATCTGCAACCTGAACAGCCTATCAGGTTAAGAGAGGTGCCTTAATCCTTGCACTATTTTCGTGTCAATCTTCAGTACTCGTTTGACGGCCATTTTGTCGCGGACCAGGCATGGAGGACAAACGTCTGAACCATTAAATTATAGAAAGCGAAAGGGGAACCTTTGTCAGCATCATCGCATCCCGGACAGAGCATGGACGATGCGTGACGTTAAGAAATGACATTCGCAATGGACCGTTACAGCTGTTACGAAAGCAAGACGATCCCGGCATACGCAGCAAATGGAGGTCCAACAGCCTCTTAAAACTTTCCTCACTGGACGCGTTGACAACAGGCTCCGGCAGAGAGTTCCAGTCGTTCACCACCCGAGTGGATAGAGCGATCACCAGACGGACACGGAGACTCATCCGCTTAAACTGCTTCCAACTGCGTTTCCGCGTCGAGCTTTTACTATTCAAACCGATCCTCATTTCCCCGCAAAAAATACGCCTAGATTAAATCAGGTAGCCCCGGCAACGACGATAATGCAAGCAAAACAGATTAAACATTGTAGGCAAGCAGGGTAGGACTTCTCACGCAATGCCGAGACCGGTTTGGAAGCACGCCTCTGTATTCTTTCAAGTATACTGCATTCAAACTTCGTGAGAGGGTAAACAGCCGGTATGTCCTACTCAAGACGACAACAACAACAACAACAACAATCAACAGCAGTACATTAGCCATTTGAACTGATGCTTCGCCGTCATACAACCATGATGATTTATGAAATAAAGAATAATAAGAGGGAGAGAAAGGGACTTACTTGAAAACCTTAATGCCCTAAGCAAACATTCTGGGTCAAGGCGCCTACACCTTGTGTTCACAACATACCGTCACAAACAGCTGGCTATCGTGCAAAGATAAGGCGGCATCGGCGAGACAGCTTGCTTACGGCTTTCACTGCCCCGCGTCATAATCAGCCATTATCCCGCAGATAACTCAGCACCAAACACACTTTAAACAGGCAATCCGATTAGGAGACGGCAGCAGACGCGCCACTGGTGTCGGTTACGAGCCATGTCCTGTAAAGTCGAGCCAAGCACAAAGTGAGTCCCGTGGGCTCCAGCGCGGAAGGCGAGACGGACCAACGACACCCAGTTTGAGCGTCAGTGACTTCATGGCCCACTGCCAAGACAACTTCTGTCCACCTCGAGCCTTGCGCCACCCTACAAATGGCAGACTAAACAAGGCCCTCCTAGGTAAGCGATGACCAGGCATACGTTGCACGTGCCTGAGCCAACGCAACTTATTCAGTGTTATCTGTTGTTCTAGGGAGCTAGCATGATTATCACCACCTAGTACTCGCCTACGCACATCATCGTTGCGGACACGCTGGTGCCATCCGACACCAGCAATGCTTCGCAAACAACGATGATCAAAGACTAGAAGGCGTCTCAGATCCTCAAACCGAAGGGGTTGTCTCACCACCATAGAGCATAACGGCCTTCACTGTGGCCTTGTATACCCGGCCTGACAGAAGGGAAACTCCCTTGTCGCCAAAGATGCTACAGGTTCAAGAAGACAGCTCTGGTTTTTGCAATGGGTGAGCTGACGTCAGTTTCTATGCGCCCATCATCAACATCATCATCATTACACGTTAGCTGGAGGTGGAAAACACCTCAGCTATTGTGCCGCAGTAGAAAAGACAAGAAAAGGAAAACAAACAGTGGCACGCCCGCTGATTCTCCAGTAACGGATGGACATCGTTCCGGAGAGCTAACAGCTAGCTGCCGTAAAAAAAGTCATATTATGCCTAACAAGTAAGATCGTGATTGGAGGGGGATGCCAAGCAGGTGGGGGATGGCCAAAGGAACTCACAACACAAACGCCATTGGGGTCGGCTCCAAGCCATATCAGCAAGTGTGTCTAACCAAACGTGTCCACCGTCCTTAGGACCCCAGCCAGGCAGTCGGGATGCACCAACCGACGCCAACTTCTAAGTGATGGTTTTCATTTCTCTCGACCAAGTCATCACTTGGCCTCCCCTCCTCCTCTTCCAACCGCACCCACAACGCGCAAACAACGCACGTCGTGGGAGTCGGTGTGCTGGCATGCGCAACACGTGGCCCAGCCATCGGAGCCTGGTGCGTGATATAATGGTGCTGAGCGGTTCACTCGCTCTTCCTGCACCAAATACACGACGTCGAACACGCTCATTGCTCACGCGGTGCTCCCACCGGACATGAGCTAAGCTGCGAAGACAAAGATGATCGAATATGACGAACCTCTTTATGTCTGTCGACCTGATGGGCCAGGTTTCACAACCATATAGGAGAGTTGAACGGACGGCTGCGTTGTAAACTCTGCCCTTCATGGCGAGAGTAATGTCGCGTCTGCGCCAGAGGTGGCGGAGATTGGCAAAAGCACCTCGAGCTTTTGCTATACGGTTCATAACCTCATCTTCAATCCCACGGGTGCTAATATAGCTGCCCAGGTACTTGAATTCCTGAACGACTTCTAGCAGATCACCACCAAGCGTTAGCGCAGGACTGGATCCCTGCCAATGGAGAAGTACTTTGCATTTCGATGGAGCAAAGCATAGCCCAAAACGATTGACAGCCAGTGCTAATCGGTCCAGTGCTGTTTGGCATGTTTGGGAGCTGTCACAGATTAGGGCAATATCGTCCGCATAATCTAAGTCAAGACGTCGTTCACCAGGAAGTAGCTCCACACCATCTAGGTCGTGTCCAGCGAACGCTGTTTCTATGACTTCATCAATAGCGAAGTTGGAGAGAAAAGGTGACAGCAGGCAAACTTTGTCTCACACCGCTGGTGATACTGCAGCTGCCCAGATAAGTGAAATGAACAACCACCTCGATTTCCTCGATAGCAAGTGTCAAGGAGTCATCAAGTGACTGGTGGTCCTGCAGCAACACTTGCACTTTGAAGGTGCAAAGTACATACCAAATAATAGGACCACTCTGAACAGGCTATTCAGGGTTGATTGTGCCGCCGCAACATCGTCGAAAAGCAAGACGATATCATCCGCATAATCAAGATCAACTAACCTTTCACCCGGCAGCACTTCAACGCCTACATCGTGAGATTCCCCAAAGGAACACCCCATGATAGGATCCACGACGAAATTGAACAAAGATTGGGAAATCGGACGTCAGGCTAATACCCCTGTGGTTAGAACAGTCTGTGCGACTGCCCTTCTTGTATTTTGCCACTATAATCGATTCGCTCCAATTAGCCGGCACACTCTCTTCGTTCCAGATACCTTCGAATAAGGTCAGTGCTTTGCAGAGGACCTCACCTCCATTCTTAAATAGTGCAGGTGGGAGGGAATCCGGGCCAGCGGCACGAAAATGATTAAGGGGCTGTGATTGCGTTTGGGACCTCGGCCTCTGACGGAGGCTCTAAACTAGACCGTCCATGGTTCGTTCTAGTACCACCTGAGTAGGAAGAGGTCCGGGAGCAAGGGCCAGCTGAACCGATCTTGAGTGTTCAGCCCAACGGGCCACACGGGTGCTCCTTATTGTGTATCAACGCACCCACGCTGTCTGTCTCACTGACGCCTGGCTTCCTGGGACCAGTAGTGCGGATCAGCTGGAAGAGCTTGCGGTAATTGCCTACTGCACCTGCTTCAGCCATTTCTTGAGCCCGAGCGGTCCACCAGGCTTCCTTGTCAGCACGTAGGCTCCGCTTTAGTTCACGCCTAATAGCCCGTCTGGTCACGTTGTGTTCAGAGCCAGCCGGGAGGTGTCTTCTAGCTTCCAACAGGTTCACGGACCTCTCGGATATCCAGTGAATGGTGCGGGTGACGACTGATAGTGCCACAAACAGATGCGCCTGCGTCGTGCATAGCGGCCATTAAATTTGGACTATGACGGAGCGGCTCCAGTTGGTTGGGACAGTTTCCTGCTCCCACAGTTTCACTAGTAACTCGTGTAAATCATCCACAGGAGCAGGTCCCCGAATTCGAAGAGGGCTGGAGGAAGGTCATCTGGTCCATCGGCTTTA